TGGAACAAGGAGAACTTGAACAAGCAGCTGTTATTTTTGAAAAGGAGCCTGTAACGGAAAGGTACTTGCATGAAATACAACAACTTCATAATGATATTAGCAATTTGGCAATCGTGAAGAGAAGAGCAGTGTTGTTAATGCTATTACAGTGGAACAAGGAGAACTTGAACAAGCAGCTGTTATTTTTGAAAAGGAGCCTGTAACGGAAAGGTACTTGCATGAAATACAACAACTTCATAATGATATTAGCAATTTGGCAATCGATGTTGAAAAGTTTAGTCAGCAGCAGAAGAGTCTGATAGCTTCCATGAGAAGATTCAGTGTGCTTAAAAAAGAATGCAGAAACACAAAAGCAATTAAAGTTCGAGCAGAGCACATTAATAAGTGCTTGGATGATCTGTCAAAAATAGTGAAAAAGGAAGAAAAAGAACATAGCTCATCATCTGCCATTACAAGAGTCCTCAGTTCTCAGCGTGCAGTCCTATTCCGTCGTTTCCAAGACATAATGATTCTGTACAATAATGCTATAACAGCCAAACAAGAAAAATGTAAGGATTTCATTGTACGTCAGCTGGAAGTGGCAGGAAAAGAAGTATCAGAGGAAGAACTGAATAATATGGTTGAACAAGGGAAATGGGAAATCTTCAATGAAAATCTGCTCACAGAGGTCAAGATTACTAAAGCTCAGTTATCTGAGATTGAACAAAGACATCGAGAACTGGTCAATCTGGAGAATCAGGTGAAAGATTTAAAGGGCCTCTTTTTTCAAATCTCACTTTTGGTAGAAGAACAAGGTGAAATGATCAACAACATTGAAATGGAAATCATTAATACTCAGGATTATGTCCAAGTATCAAGAGAAAAGTTCAGGCTAGCAGCTAAATATAGAAAAAAGAATCCATGCAAAGTACTATGTTGTTGGTGTTGTCCCTGCTGCAAATGATGTGTCCTCTGGGCAATTAAAACTTAAGTTCTGATCCAGAAAATACTGAATAGGACTAAACTTGATATGGGGAAGGTGGGGTTGCTGTATTATTAGGAACAGGTACAATTTTTCACATGGTATTTCCTTTCCTTAGTCACATTACCTAATAGAGACTTTGCTAAGAGAAACATTCACCATTGAAGAACACACACTGAAAATCATGAAAAGGGATCAAATGGAATAGAACAACCTTACCAATGTTCATATACCATTATTCTTTGGGGGCTAACTAAACAATTCCTTGCTACAACTCTGAAGAATGGGAATAGTTTCCTCCTTCCTAGGTACAGCTTTAAAAGGCCAAATGATAGTGTGAATGTAATATCAAGGAGTATCAGTAACAATTCATTATGACATCACAAGTACTAGTGAAGTAGCTGTTAGAAACAAAGCCACAACTGTACTGTCATATTTAATTTCAGCCAGTTTCTCTGGAATTAAATGTATCTTCCTACCAATTTTGTTCAAGTAGTTTGGGTAAAGAAAAACTGCAAACCTACTGTGACGTAAGTTAGGATATACAGATAGTCCTTGGCTTACGTCCATTCATTCAGCGATTGTTCAAAGTTAAGGTGGTGTTTGAAAAATGGACATATGACTGATCCTCAAAGTTCTGGCCATTGCCACACCCTTGCAGTCACATGACTATAATCCAGGTGTACCTGGCTCACGATTATGATGTTGCAGGAAGCCACAGTCATGTGATCACATTTGCGACCTTCCCTGCCAGCTTCCCACAAGCAAAGTCAATGGGGAAGCTGGCAGAGAACGTCACAGGTTGTCCTGGCTTACCTGTGCCTGCGTGGCACCCTTCACCCTACAGAGTTTCTGCAGTCGTAAAGTACGATGTCACATGGCTGCATCGCTTAGCAACAGCAATCCTGGCAGTCCCAGTAGTTGTCATAACTCCAAGATGTGTAGGTCATTAAGCTATAAGAGTTCCAGGTAAGGAGTGTGGGGGTGCCATGGGGGGTGCAGGAGATCCAGTGCAAGCCATGCATAAATCAAGGAAGGTTTGGGAGATCCAGCGCAGGCCACACAAATTGGGGGAGGTTTGGGAGGGCCGGCAGAGGCTGCGCACAGGCAGGAGTGTGTGCTGCAAGTGGGAGCTACTTACCGGAGTGACTTGCAACCTTCCCTGCTGGCTTCCCTATTGACTTTGCTTGTGGGAAGCCGGCAGGGAAGGTAGCAAATGGCAATCACGTGACTGCAGCTCCCTGCGACTTCATAATAGCAAGCCGAGTGCCCCGATTGCGATCATGTGACTACTGGGATGCTGCGATGGCTAAAACTTCAGGGACTGGTCATACGTCCGTTTTTTCAGTGCCATCGTAGTTTTGAATGGTCACTGAATGAATGGATGTTAGCCGAGGACTACCTGTATACTTTTAATTGAAACAGTACGTTGTTTAATAATAACCATAATATTGAAATAGGTTAAAAATTTAAAGTAACCAAAAAAAGTAATTATAAAACCCAGTCTTCATAAAAGCTTCAAGAACGTATTGTAGACTACAGTTGTTTTATATATTTCAGATTCCAAATCACTGGTAAAAGTCTACAAGTCAAAGTGGCTAACATCAGGGTATTTTGGAAACTGTTTATCTGTTAACTGAGGTTTCAGTGTGTATATCATGTATAAACTGCTGCAAGAAGAATTTTGTGTGCATGACCGGAATTTACATATCCCTTAGCTCATAAGACAAATTATCCCAGCTGCAGAGTTTCTCTGAATTTTTAAATTATATATTAAAAGTATAAATTAATACATTTCATTTTGTCTTCAAGAAAACAGCCATAAACCCACACATAAAACTAAAACCAAGGTTACAGACTTGGGCAAACACACTGTTACTATATATAAACATGCTAATCTCAAAAAATATAAATAATAATATAAATTAGAATGTGAATATATATGCACCATAAGATTTCAGCAAACACAGTAGGATATTTTTTCTTTTACTTTTATAAATCTTCTTTCCCAAGCAGTCTTTCCATTACTGAAAGTCTCCAAATATTTAAAATATATTTTGCTATGGTAATGTAAAAGGAAAAAAAAAAAAACCTCCCTCAAGAAACAATCATTTCAATGCATTATTGCTATTATATTCCTTGACTACAACTATGCATTATAAGAATTAGGCATGACCACAGAGCAGAAACCAAAACTATACTTCAATGGCCATGTCATTATAAGATTCTTTTAGTCACTTTGGAAATATACTTTGTCCCTAAATAAGTCACAACACTATAATCTGTGTTATAGATTATAACTATATATACACTATAAACCAATAAATGTGCTAATACTATGCCTTAAAAAAGGAGGAGATTATGCAATCATAATTATTCAAGAAGAGGTTCTCTTTTGCTAAGAAGGTAACTTTTCATGCTATCAGTAACCTCTGTTCTGTTGGTTGTCAATTAATCACATTTCACAAATGCATATTCAATTTACTGTACTGTATATAAAAAAGTGTTCTACTTAAAGACAATTACTGCTTATTATATAAGGTACAAATCTATCACTAGTATAAAACAAGCTCTAATGTATGTATGAGAAATAGTAAAATAAACTACATTCCCATGTTAGAGAACTAGAGAGAAATTGTGTTGTATTGTGATCATAAGGGAGGAATGGTAGGAAAAGATCTGAAACATATAGCTATGCTTCAAAATGAAGCATACATCTTGGCCAAAGTAAATCTGGAAAACCACTGGATATTTAAAGGGTAAAAAATGAACAAGTTCTATATTTTTTTCTGTAATGAAATGTACATAATACACTGTTAAGATAAGAAACTCACACATACGTACACACTTCATTAGAGAAGCCTAATAAAATGCAACTATTTAGTCATGTAGAACAGAAAAGAAGTAAGAACTGATGATGTGTGATATGACTGTGATTTAAGAAGAACTAGCTTAATACGGATTACTTATATTTTCTAAAATACTGGCAGCTAAGTATACCACGTATCCCCGTCAAGTCAAAAGGCAATCCACAGATCACTATGTCAAAATTTTATTCTATGGAAGTTAAAACTATAAATTATTATTTATAATAATGCTAAGTGTTTCAATACTTATTCAGTAGTGCACAACTGTAGTAATCATCATTATATTTTAATGAATTTCTGCAATCCAAATACAATTTTTAATAAACTCATTTGTTCTTATTTACTTTTCAACATATATACTCTGGTTTCTATCAAATATTCAAGATAGCTTATCATTAGCCATAATTTAATGACCATAGAAAGAAGAAAAAGATGTATAAATACAGCAATTCAGAAAGGTGTCCTGTTTCATCTTGGATTCAAGGTGGGTGGGAATGGCTTGAAATAATTAAGTATATTATAGGATAATAGTTATGTTTAGAAGCTCAGAACATCACAGATTATACTCTGAAAATGTAGAGACAGATTTGGAATAATGCATTTATCAACATTTATAGTTATTAATCATTGAAATAACCTGGGGAAACAAGGTGGCACAGCCAGCTGGGAACAATTAACCATGTTTTTTTTAATTGAGAAGTGATAAGCAGTTCTTATCAGCAAATCCCCTCAATCAGAATCTAATTATCTGCAATATTTAACTAATATCAATTGCCTGATTTTTAATATGGCATATATTTTGCTAAAGTTTGAAAAAAGAAAAATTAAACCAAGGAGTGGTTTTCTATTGCTAATTCAGAATAATTACATACAGAGAAAATGGCAGTAAACCTATATGTCTTTCACAAAATGGCTCTAAAATATCTAAATTATTAAAATTATTTCATTCAAACCATGATGTAGAAACATTATAGCTGTCTCAAATATTGTGCATACTGTGTTTTAGAAGAAGGCACTGTAAATATACAAAGACCTGTTATTCACAATATGTTCATTTCCAAATCAAAGAGAAAGAATCTCCACTTCTCAGTGTTTCTGAGTTATTTCACAAAACAAATCTTTAAGCCTTGTCCAATTGGCTTTAATGGGTCAGTTAAGCAAACATTAATTTTTTTTTACATTAAAATCAATTCCTAAAAGTGCTTAGCTTTGGATGAATCGTCACATTACTATTTAATTCTCCGAGAAAAGAAAATAACTAGTTTATTTTGCAGAAGTATCAACCACAGAGAATTTTATTCATTACAGTATTTCCTTGAAAACTTCTAACTAATGAGAAAGTATCTTGACATATTATTAATTTTTTAGTTTGTTTGATGTCAGTTCCCAGAAGTTAACAATATTTAGAATGCATCAATTGCACCCTCTTGTGTTGAGCATGCATATCTCTTTAATAATATTTCTTCATATACTTATATTTTAATACTGTATCAATCATAATAGCCAAGAGTTAACTGCTACAGACAAGACTAGCATATAAAACAGAATACGTATATAGAACTATTATGGACTTTATTTATGTAGCGCAATTTTACCAGATTTGACCCACCATTTCTAATTATTTTAACAGTAGTACAATCTTTTTTTTTTCAATATATAGTATTTAAGTATGTTTAAATCTATGTTACTTACACCAGTACAGGTTTCCCTGATATCTTGGGATGTCTTAGAACTTCTGATATTGTTTCTTTTGTCTCTTCCATTCTTTCCACATCACTTGAATCCACAACAAATATTACTCCATAGGATTCAGCATAGTAATTCTTCCAGATGCCCCGGATACGTTTTCCACCTCCTAAGTCAAAAATTGTGACTTCAAACCATCCTTGTTTAAGGTCAATTTTAGAAAAGCCCACCGTTGGAGCCACATCTTCAGGGGATTCTGACAAAATTAAAGTATATGTATGAGAGACAGGTCAGTGAAGTTTGAGTAAGGATTTATACTTATTTTAATGCCCTAATAATGTATTAGACTTATCTCCCACAGGTACTTTTGGAGAATAGACAATATATTCAGAACATTTCATGTTTTCCCCAAAACAATTTGGAGAGGAACAGAACAGAAGGTAGGCAATTATCCGCGGTTGGGAAGAAATTGCAGGGCTTCATACTTCTAGAATAAGAATAAAGAAAAGAAGAATGGGTAACACTCCTATTATATTACACTACTCATGAGTTACACAGATTACTGGTTGTTATGTAATAGTTACATATGGATTACAAACGGATGCATAAGAATTATGTAAGCAGCATGTAAATATATTTCTACATGAAAACAAACAGCATTTATTATGACTTGACCTACTGTGAATTCTGATATGACCAATTACACCTCATTAATTCCAAGCTTTAATATACATCTGTACTAATGCTAAGCATTTTATTTTACTGTACAAGTAAAAAATCACATTATTAATCATTAGCATATGAGTGTATCAAAGCTAACTAATACTTAATTGTTTCAAAGCAACAGTAACATTAAAATGATGCACACTTTTACTGAAAATATATTTCAGACCTTACCTATCCAAGAAGAATTTGAATGAAACTTTTATTAGTCAGGATCTAGAGAGTTCCATATGCAATGTTGGGGAAATTGAATTTTCTTTTATGACTACCTTGCATGAACTGGAATTCCTTAGCACTCAGACATGGACTTTCATGACTTCAGAGAACTGCCATTTCAGGGGCAAAGATAAGCCTTTGTGTGTATGTGAGCTCTTTCTATTCAGGGGATTCAAATGGAAGATTTCTATCTTAATTGAACATTCCTAGAAATAATATTCTGAAGATAGTGGAAACAGTTTGTTTTACACACTAATAAATCCCATCAGTAACCTTATCTAAATTCACTATACGTAATCTTTATGTTTATATATGTGGAGTCCTTGGTGTTCCCTGAGCTTGGTTGCTTGTTTGCATACATTTCATTACATAACATCATCAGTGCTAGTGAGTATGGAGTTTGTTCCCTGTTTATATACAATAGCTTATCCTGCCAGTGTTGGTGCATGTGCGGTTTTCTCCTTGGTAGTTCCTTGATTAGGGTATTGTTTTCTGCTTGATTGTCTGTCTAATGTTAATCCCTGCTTATCTGGGTGTTGGCTACTGGAGGGGATGTGTTTTGGTCTTTTTGTTTCCTTCTTAGCTTTTTGTTGTCTCTTTTAAATGGTGTGTAAATATTATTTATTTGTCTATGTGTCTAGTGATGGCTGATTTGTTTGAATGCCAAGCTTCCAGAAATTCCCTAGCATTTTTAGATTTAGCTTGATCTAATATGCTCACAGGTTCCCAGCTGAAATTGTGGCTGAGCATGACCATGTGTTGTGAGATTAAAGAATTTTCATCGTGTCTTCTGACTGCTAGTTGGTATTCATGGATGCACTCTGCTAGTTTTCTGCCCATCTGTCCTACACAATGGCTGTTACAGTCCTTACGTTGTACGTTGTAGATGGCTCCTGTTCTTTCCTTCTTGGGCTACTGGGTCTTTTGGTTTATTTAAGAAGTTTTGGAGGGTTCAAGTTGGTTTGTGTGCTATGGTGATGCCATATGGTTGTAATGGTCTGTTGGTTGTTTCTGAGCTCTTTCTGATGTATGGTAGTGTTACTTTTTCATAGCTTGTGTTGGTTGCACTATAGTGGGTTAAGTGGCCAGGCACTTTTTGATAAAGTTGTGTGAGTATCCATTTTGTTGGAAGATGTTGTATAGGCAGTCAGTTTCGTTTTTCTGGTGTTCCGGGTTGCTACAGTGCATTTGTGCTCGTCTGAATAATGTTCTTACACAGCTCTTCTTGTGGGAAGTTGGGTTGTTACTTTGGCAATGGAGCACTTGGTTAGTGTTGGTTGTTTTTCAATAGACCTGCATTTCTAATATGCCATCATTTCCTCTGCAGATGAGGATGTCCAGGTAGGGTGCTGGGTTGTTGTTTTCTTCTTCCCTTCTGAATTTTATTCCTCTGAAGATGTTATTGTTTCATGTGTCTTCTCTAGTTGTTCCTTTTTTATTATGATGGTGTTGGATCCATACTTTTGGTTTTATGTGTGGGAGTGCTATAGTTCCTAGATGTTGCATTACAGTTTCTGCTATGAGTCCTGAGAGTGGTGATTCCATGGGTGTTCCTCTGATTTTTTGGTATATGTGTCCGCCAAACTAAAAGTAGGTAATGAGGCAGAGGTTGATGAGGTCCGTGACTCTGGATATTTCAATCTTAGTGTATTTGGCTAGGTTGGGTGCATTATGTAGTACTGCTGCCATGGATTCTTTTGCTAGTTTTGGATCTATGGAGGTGAAGAGTGCTATGAGATTGAATGAAACCATAATTTCATCTTCTTCTATTTTTACGTCTTTGATTTTCTGGAGGCACTGTAGTGGGGAATTGATATAATATCTGCTTCCCTTTATGAGATGTCCAAACTTTTTTGTAAGTTCTTTCGCTATGTTGTAAGTTCAGGTCCTTGGTAATGATACAATTGGACGAAGAGGTGCGTTGGACTTGTGTATTTTGGAGCATCCATAGAAGTGGGAAGATGGGTCCACTGCTTTTCATCACCCCTGTTCTTCTTTTGTGATTTGATCTTTCTTGATTAGGTCATTGAGAGTTCTCTTGATCTCGTGGTCCAGTTTCTGTATTGGGTTGGTGTTTATTGGGATGTAGGTTTCTTTGTCCTGATGATGTTACCTAATTGGGTAATGAAATGTCTGCAAGCAAACAACCTAGCTCAGAGAGCACCAAGGACTCCACAG